TATTAAATGAAGACTTAGGGCTTCGGGCATATCGAAGAAAAACAGGACATCGTTTGAATGCTCGTTTAATGGACCTAAGACTGAAGAGATGCCGCGCTTTGTTGAAGCGGTACGCGGGAAAAAATATCGGGAAATTCTTTTTTCGGATGAAAAAATTTTTACCGTAGAAGAGAGCTACAACAAACAAAATGATAAGGTGTACGCACACAGTAGTGAAGAAGCAAGCAACCGTATTCCGCGTGTCCAACGAGGTCATTTTCCATCCTCGCTCATGGTATGGTTGGGAGATTCTTATTGGGGCTTAACAGAGGTACATTTTTGTGAGAAAGGTGTAAAAACGAATGCAGTTGTGTATCAAAATACAGTCCTGACGAACCTTGTGGAACCTGTTTCTCATACCATGTTCAATAACAGGCACTGGGTATTCCAACAAGATTCGGCGCCAGTTCATGGAGCGAAGAGCACACAAGACTGGCTGGCGGCGCGTGAAATCGATTTCATCCGGCACGAAGACTGGCCCTCCTCCAGTCCAGATTTGAATCCGTTAGATTACAAGATATGGCAACACTTGGAGGAAAAGGCGTGCTCAAAGCCTCATCCCAATTTGGAGTCACTCAAGACATCCTTGATTAAGGCAGCCGCCGATATTGACATGGACCTCGTTCGTGCTGCGATAGACGACTGGCCGCGCAAATTGAAGGCCTGTATTCAAAATCACGGAGGTCATTTTGAATAAACTTTAGTGTCATAAGAATCTATGTTTTGTCAAGTTCATTTTGGTATATAAATGGTTACATAATGAATAAAGTTGTTTCAATTATTTTATATTAAACATGTGACAGAATTTATGACCTGACTAGGTAAATGTCTAAACAGTAGCGTCTAAGACACTGCGTCGTTAATCGGCCTGTCCTCCTTACAACAGGACCCATATACTAGCGGACTTCTAAGGACTGACGATGATGAAGAAGAAAATAATTATCCGTCGTCATCCAGTCTACTTATAAAGGCATTTTTGAGCTACGATAATTTGAGTGGTGATAAACTCGTCGAAAATACATTATCTCGTCTTGTCCGAGACGACGTTAAGATATGATCAACGAGAAAATTAAACTTTTAATAAAAGATACTAACCGACTTCAAAACTAAAAAACAATGATTTTTACATAATAGCTTCTGAAGCCGGTGTGATGCATTATATGGTGTATCGATGAATTAAAACCCCAACTTCAGAAGCTATTGTTTGGAAATTGTTTAATACTTCTGTAGACTTCTTTGAATATTTATAGTTTAGAAATTTACATAAAAGCTTTTAGAAAAATTTACTTCGCAAATATCCGCGTTATAAAATAAAATGATGTGTCTTACCTAGTATGGAGAGCACCTAGGGTGGGACCCTCCCCAGGGTGGGCCCAGGGTGGGACCCTCCCCTCCCCTCCCTCAATTCCGTGCACTATCCCCGTCACCACTAATCCCAGTACCGCTACTCCCAACACCACTACACTAGGCAAGACACACCACTGACGACAATACAATGTATTTATTGTATTGTATTGTCGTAAATTTTTCTAAAAGCTTTTATATAATGGATTTCCGCAAAGTAACGCCTGATTCATCATCATCATCATCATTACAGCCCTTCACAAGTCCACTGCTGAACATAGGCCTCCCCCAAGGAACGCCACAAAGCACGGTCCCAAGCCACCTGCATCCATCGACATCCTGCATATCTTACCAGGTCGTCACTCCATCTAGTGGGGGGACGCCCTACACTTCGCCTGCCGGTACGAGGCTGCCACTCGAGAACCTTTCTTCCGCATCGGTTGTCGGTTCTTCGAGCTATATGGCCGGCCCATTGCCACTTCAGCTTACTAATCCGTTGGGCTATGTCGGTCACTCTGGTTCTACTGCGGATATCCTTATTTCTGAGTGTATCACGCAGAGAAACTCCGAGCATAGCCCTCTCCATAGCTCGCTGAGCGACCTTGAGCTTCCTCATCCGGCCAGCAGTGAAGGACCACGTCTCAGTTCCGTATGTCATCACTGGCAACACGCACTGGGTGTACAGTCTCGTTTTCAAGTTTTTTTTTTTTTAAAAACGTTACCCCCGCACTAGGATTTTCTCCTGTGTCGTGGAGGCAGTTTACAAACATAAATTGCACAAGGACAAACATCCAGACCCGGAACAATTATTTGTAGGCCATACAAATACTTGTTCCGTGCGGGATACGAACCCGCGGCCCCCAGCACAACAACTGATTGCTAAGCCACTGCGCCACGGAGCCGTCAGTTTTGAGGTATACCTGACGAGAAGATGTGCCGTAATTTCCCGAACGCTGCCCAACCGAGTTGAATCCGTCGATTGACCTCTCGGTCGAAGTTGGACTTACCTAGTCGGACTATTTGTCCCAGGTAAACATACTCGTTAACAACTTCGAGCTTAGTGTTCCCAACAACTACCGGCATAGGTGTGACATGGACATTAAACATGATCTTTGTTTTGTCCATGTTCATCTTAAGACCTATCCGTTGGGAAACACTATTGAGGTCATTGAGCATAGTGCTTAGGTCCTCCAGCGATTCTGCCATAAGGACTATATCGTCGGCAAATCGAAGGTGAGTGATGTACTCGCCATTGATGTTGATACCGTATCCTTTCCAGTCCAGAAGCTTGAAAACATCTTCCAATGCAGCGGTAAAGAGTTTCGGGGATATGACGTCACCCTGTCTTACACCTCTCTGCAATTGGATAGGTTTCGTACTCTGGTTCTGTACTCGGATAGCCATCGTAGCCCTACTGTACAAGCACTTCAACACTTCGATATACCGACAGTCAACTTGGCATCGCTGAAGGGACTGCAGCACCGCCCAAATTTCGACGGAATCAAAGGCTTTCTCATAGTCCACATACGCCAGACATAGTGGCAAATTGTACTCCTCGGACTTCTGTACAATTTGCCGAAGGGTATGTATGTGGTCTATGGTGCTAAAGCCTTTTCGGAAACCGGCTTGATCAGGAGGCTGGAAGTCGTCAAGTCTGCGCGCGAGACGATTCGTAATGACTCTCGAAAACAGCACGTAGACGCGGCTCAGAAGGGAAATTGGTCTGTAGTTCTTCAAGAGAGCGTTGTCGCCTTTCTTGAAGAACAAGACCACCGCACTTCTGCTCCACGCCTCCGGTGTAATGCCACCATGGAGGACGGAATTAAAGAGCTTCTGAAGGACTTCAAGTACCGGTTTTCCACCCGCTTTCAGAAGCTCCGCTGTAATTCCATCCTCGACTGGGGCCTTGCCGTTTTTAAGGTGCTGGGGAGCCATTCTAATCTCGCTCAGACTGACGTCCGGGATATCATCGGAACAATGTCGGATAAGACTCGCTCTTGGATCGTTACTCACACTTGCGTGCGGCTCCAACGATGACGTGTACAGCTGCCCATAGAACCTCTCAATCTCACTCAAAATCTCAGGTGCCCCGGAAACGATGCTGCCACATTCGGTCTTCAGCTTTGACAGTTGGCTCTTTCTGGCAGACAGATCTCTGGCAAAGACTTTGGAGCCTTGGTTCCGCTCAATCGCTTCTTCAATACGAGCTGTATTGAAGTTGCGTAAGTCCCGCCGCATGCATTTGGAGATCTGTCTGTTCAGTTGCCTGTATGCTGTCAAATCTGTTGAAGAATGTAGCTTCATCTCCCGTTTAACAGCCATGGGATTAAGAGTGTGATCGGAGAGTTTTTGTGTTCTTCTGCGGCGGGTCTTGCAGAACTTAGCTCCGACCGCATGGACAGTTTCCACGAACTTGTCATTCAAATCGTCCACTTCATTGCAGTCTTCTAGGCATTGAAAACGGTTTTGTAACTCGAGCTGAAAGGTTTCGGGACTTTGGATTAGAGCACGAGGGGGACGGAGCGTTGACTTCATTAGACGAGACCTCTCCAACTTAACGTTTAGGTTCAGTGTGCCTCTAACCATTCGGTGATCGCTGCCGGTTTTCACCCTCGCGATCACTGAGACATCACTGAACAGTTGTCGTCCGGTCGTCATAATGAAGTCAATCTCATTTTTTGTGATTCTATTAATGAACGCCTGATTCTATTAATTATATTAGAAATTTACTTTTTTTATATAAGAAGAGGCAAACTAACTTGCGCCTCACCTGATTGTAAGTGACTACCACAGCCCATGTACAACTCCAAAACCAAGGGACATAAGGATATGCGTTGCCGGCCTTTTAAAAAATAGTGTGCTCTTTACTTAAACGTCTCTAAGTCGTATCAGTCCGGGAAAATCGCTTCTTTGTACTTTTTATTAAATGTTTAATAATTTTGCTCTTTCCAGTGCTGTAATATCACACTTTCAAGGTAGCAATTCTAAGCTGTCTAATCTAAATTTATCTATTTTACCCTCACGCATGAAATTTTTTTTAAATGGACTTGGTTATGCAAAAAGGATCCAACCCTAAAGAAGAAAGCTACTCGTAATTTGAGGTTATGAAATTTGAAGAATGGATCTGTATGGTTTGTGTGTGTGTGTTTGTAATTTTTCTTCTTATTTGTGTTACTTTCGCTACCTACGTTGGATCCTTTTTGCGTAACTATGTCCAAATTTATATGCGACTTTAACTTATTTAAAAAAAAAGAATAATTTAAATCGGTTCAGCTATTTCTGAAAACTCGACGAACATGAACACGTTCTAATGACTTCCAATGGAAGTGAATTTTTTTTTTTATAGGATCGGGTGACAAACGAGCACACAGTCCACCTGATGGTAAGTCATTACTGTGACCCATAGACATCTACATCTATCCTCAATAAAGACTCAAGATGCAGATGCGTTGTCACCCGTAATACTGTACCTATCTATCTCCGTCTGCCATTCATGGCGATTATAACAGATCCTCTTCAAATAATATGAGAAAGCGCAACGGACGGGCTGCCAAATTTATTTATCAGCCGATCCATTGCACTCCAATGTAAATGCTACTATCTGTAAAATTTTATAGATGCTGCAAACGAAACCAGTGAGCATGGTGGTGCAGTGGAGCGAGGTGCGAACCGCATGGCAGGACAGTGACTTCATAACCGAGTGCCTGTGCTGGCATAACGTGTACAGGCAGAGGCATGGCGCCCCGCAGCTTTACATGGCCCCCGAGGTAGGGAAAAGACGCTTGGCAGATGCCTATTATTTTAATTATATAGTCTATGACTAAAGGCAAACCACCAGGCCGTGAGAGTCTCAACGTCGAGCATCTATAGAACGCGGGACCTCAACTCTTTAGAGTGCTTGCCTTGCTTTTTAAATTGTGTTTACTGCATTTTTATCTACCACTAGATCTGATAAGAACTGTTGTGGTGCCGATTATAAAGAATAAAACAGGTGATGTGACGAACAGACCGAACTATAGACCAATCTCATTGGCAACAATCATTACCAAGGTGTATGACGGTGTACTGAACTCTCAGTTTTGCTGGCCCCTCTGTCAGTGCCACCAGGAGGATGCCGGCTTTTTGTGAAGCATATGCTGATTCTCAAGCGTTGGTGTACAATAACAAGAAGAGTGAATACCTAGTCTTTAAGGCAGGCAATAGACTACTAATGCTACACACACTAAAGCAGCATTGTATATTCCGTTACCGTTACAGCCTTGCTATAGTTGCCACGCTTGGAAAGCATGTATGTAATATTTTACAATCTCATAGCGTAATGATCATTGCAAGATTTTAGAGAGATTGAGAGATTTATTTATTTTTTCGGACTTTCGTGACATATTTGTTTCAAATAACTTGCGAGGGACGATAAGATCAATGGCGCATTTTCTACGTATTTTAAAGGAGAAAGACCAATCATTTTTTAGATTATGTTATACTATAAACATAATAATCAACCGATATGAAAAGTTTATACTTGTAAAGTTTTAATTTTAAATTGTTATTAATATTATAGTTTGGCATCCATTCTGCGAACTTCCCCACGAAGCTTCAAACTTTCAAAACCGCAATAACTGCTACGAGAACAAGATTATATAACCAACTTCCTTGGATTGACAATAATGATAAATAAGTCAAATTGTTAATTATATATTTAATAACATCTATACAAATAAATAAAATTGAAGTTTCTGTTTGTAATGTCGAAATAACAGCTTTTTACTATATGCATGTGAAAGTATATACGGTACTTATAACAAAAACACGATTTTTTTTTAATTTTTGTCTGTCTGTCTCTTTGTTCCGGATAATCTCATTTTGTACTTGGTAGAGCCATGCTGCAGCTATATTAGTAGTATAGTTGTAACACGAATGGGTTGGCTCGACTGGGAAAGGACCACGCTCTCACAGCAAACCAGCGTAAAATAACAGCTTAACGCTGCTGTGTTTCGTATCGTGAGTGTAGAGAACCGGAGAGCCTTTTTACTGGCAAAGAGGCATTCCAACAACGCATCTGCATCTTGAGTCTTTATTGAGGATAGATGAAGATGTCTATGGGTCACAATAACCACTTACCATCAGGTGGACTGTGTGCTCGTTTGTCACCCTATCCTATAAAAAATATCTCCGAAAGGACTGGACCGATTTTGACCGGACTTTCATTGGCAGATAGCTGATATTATAAGAAGAAACTTAAGCTACTTTTATTTTAGATAAAGGATTAGGGTTCCGCGCAAAAAATTAAAACCCATGAAATCCAATCGTAAGAAATTACGTGCGGGCGAAGTCGCGGGGAACAGCTAGTTTTTATATAAATTGAAGTGACAAACGAGTCCACCTGCTGGTAAGTGTACCATCTACACCTGCAGCCAACTTTAAACGAATAAGGCTACTAAGACGTCACATCCGAGGATTAACATAGAATACCTTACAACCTGTATTAATACTGAATGCCTACACCCTCAAGACCGGAATACTGCAGTATAAACACTGCTATTTGACTGCAGAAATAGATACTTCCATTGCTTATGGGCCAAATTTTGGCAGTAAAGTAAAAGGCCACTAGTTATTCCCTATGCTTGTGTAATATGCTTGTATTCCGTTCACACGTCGGATAATCGATGTTAATATATGTTACGGCCCCCAGCTGCCCCTGCAAAGGTCGCCTTGGCTAGGGCCCATAGTAGCCTCCTCGACGGGCAGCCTAGGGTTCGGGCACAATTGAACTATCATACTACACAATAGAGATGTAGAGGCTAGGTAAATAAATACTACGTACCTGGATCCGAAACTAAGACCGCACCAAGGCTCTGTAAGGTCGTAGGTAGGTGTAGGTGCGTGTGAGTGGTGTTTAGTGGTGTGTCTATTTATGTGACCTGGCCCAGCTGAGGTGACTGGTCCCATGCTGCCCCACAATGCTGCATCACTCCAGCAGGTGTCACCAAGTGATAACTTCTTTCTTCATGTCACTATTTCAGTCTATCAACTTTATTGTACATTTAACTAACTTCAACTCAACTAATTCAACGTTCATCGTAAATCAAACACGTGATACCCGACACAAGTAAAGAACAGTAGTTCAAAGTTCAATATTCAATGTTTCGGATTCATTTATCACCAAATTACACATAGGGAACTAACGCGATCTCTTCACGAGTCACAAAGTTCAGCGTTACAAACAACAACTAAATTCCTTCGTACCATATTAAATACTACGCAGCAATAAGAATTCAAAATCAACCTAGCTGACACGCAACTAACTACAGAGTCAACACACAAAAGGCTTTTAACGCGACGGTACAATTAATCAATGATTTCCAAAAACAATCAACTGGGTCACGCCCTCGAAATGGAATGCGAGCTTCAAATTCCACATTGTATCTCTCTACTCGGCGCGCGCAGGATTCCACGTCACACAAGCTAGTTAAACATTGCAAAATGCACTTCAATACGCAATCACTATATAATTGGCGCAATTACTTTCAAATGAAATTACTTTAATCAGTCAAATTCAATACAAGCCTCTTGTCACGAACATACAACTTAGACAAACTAAACCGAGGCGGTCTTCACGAAACCACAATTCAGTAGCGAAGTAACGCGCACAAATACTAAAAATCTAGACCATAAACCCAAAAAACTGGTCGCGCGAAATATATGCAGCGGTCTCCAAAATACGTTAATTGACCGTACCGCTGCTCTCAAGCTACTGTCCTTCGCCCACGAGCACCAAACGCCGGGAGGCCGCATACCACTGCCCCCTCCCCGCGACGCGCGTGTCACCTCACACATCGGGCGATTCGCTAAGTCAACGCCATTGGATGGCGTTTCAAAATGACCATATTTGGGCCTAAACAATATAAAACAAATAATTCAAAAATCCACTCCGTCATAAAATTACTAAGTTAGAAGCATAAAACGACATACTTTAAAAACGTATTCGTGTCCACAAAAATGAACCGGCGATTTTCCCCTATAAACATCTCATCAAAGGAAATAAATATATGTACAGAAGACATTTACTGTAAAAATAAACTACTCTTTATACGTTTTATATCTTTGTTGTAGTAAAATTAAAGCAACAGTAGCCTAATGACAGGGTGCGGATTTCGAACTCGATAGGTCGTGGGTTCGAATCCGCTATTCGACTACTGTCGTCAACCTCGCCTAACACAAATATTTTAAACGGTATGAATGTTTAAAGGGAAAGTTAGTAATGTTAATAGCATTGCTAGTATTTCTTTATTATTTTTAAAAAAATCTGTAGCATATATACGTCCAAACTCTGCGCCCCAGGCCTGCCTACTCTCATTTCTGAGAGGTTAATGGAGCTATTATTATGCCGCGCTGTTTAATTGCATGTTTGACGGACTTCACATATCCTCAATATATCTTATTCCTCAGACATGTCCAAAGACACGCAACAAGACAAGTCCTTGCTGAAATCATAGTAAACTATAACAAAAGAAGAAAATAAGCAAGGTTAATAGGTACCGTTTTAAAAAAAACCGACTGCGTAAAAATAGTAATAATACCTATTATACGATTATATAATACGAACTTAATTACAGGTTTATTATAAGTTTTGATAATTTAAGCCAAAATGGTTGCTAACCAACTTTAAATCGTTATATAGATCCCAAATGATCATTAAAAATGAAAAATGTTTAGAGAAACCTAAATATATTTTCAAAGACCCAATGAACGCCTCACTTTACATAGTTCGTCGACTTTCATTTTCTTGTCTTTAAAGCAATATGGCGTCTGGTTGCCGCCATATTGAATTTTTATAACTGTCATGTCTTTAGTAACACTCACAAAATTAAGACATATCGTTTAACGTAAAAAATCATCAAAATAGGGCCACGCGTTTGGTCCCTATAACGCCACAAAGGAACAAACATACATATTATGTACATAGGCTGATAAACAAATTACCCTCTGCAGTCTGGTAAAAAGAAACGTGTTTATTCCAGTTTACGCTTAAACTGGAATAAACACGTTTTAACAGAACAAAATATAAAAGGTAGTAATAGACAAAAAGATAAATAATAATTTAAAATTAAAAATTTTGTACAGCCGACTTCAATATAAGTTATTAAGAATAACTCCAAAACTATTGGTCTGACCTTAATAAAATTCATTTGAAACCACACGAGAAGTATCAGCTTTCAAATAAAAAAATAATCTTCGAAATCGGTTCTCCCAGTAAAAAGTTATAAGGTAACACACATTAAAAAAAACATACAGTCGGATTGAGTACCGTCTCCTTTTTGGAAGTCTGCAGATAAAACGAAGTATTCACCAACATTGTCAATTTATGAAAATATAGTTAATTACCCCGTGTAGTGGCGGATAAGAATACCCACTAACCCATATCTTCAGGTGGGTGTCGTGAGAGGCGACAGAGGGACGCTGAGACAGAAGATGGGCATCACACAAACAGCATCTTTCTGATAACAGCAAATTACAATAAAAAAACTGCGGTTGTCAACCCGCTCGCCAAGCGTGGCAATTATGGCAATATGGGTATATACCCAACCCAACCAAAAAAAAATATTGCCATAGTTGCCACGTAGTTGACACGAAGTTGACACGTTGCACATGATTGATTGAACATCAAGGGCGAGTACATCACTCACCTTAGATTTGCCGACGATATAATCCTTATAGCATAATCTCTGTAAAAGAAAAAAGTAAAAAAGTAGCCTAAGTTACTTCTTAT